CTGAGGCAGGAGAATTGCCTGAACCCAGGAGGCGGAGGTTGCAATGAGCCGAGATCACGCCATTGCACTCCAGCCTGGGTAACTTGAGCGAAACTCCGTCTCAAAAAAAAAAAAAAAAAAAAAAAATACACAGCTGAGCCTCCATTACTCCAAAAGGACAAAGTGGTTTTCTTTTTCAATGACATTTGAGGAGTCAGAACTGGAAAGATCCCAAAAGAATTAAAAACTGACTATTGGAGGTGAAAAACTTGCCACAGTGCATGGCAAAGTGGTGAGAAACGCCTCTGTGCATTCAAAGGATTCAGGTCTTAACCAGTACCAATGTGACATAAATATAAGTCTAAATATCTAAGAAACATTTCGTTTGTAGCAAACAACTTAGGTGAGCAAGTGGAATTCACTTAACTGAGCCACGGTTCAACTAAGGAACTGGAACCAGTCTCCATGGCCAAATTTGAAAGAACAGAAGCACACAAACCTAATTATGTTTTTTCTACCCTTGGTGAGCTATGTGTGGATTCCAGGTAAAATCAGGGTGGACAAAGGATGGGTGTGGCAGCATGAAGGTAGGTCTTTTTTTTGTTCATTTGTTTTTTTGAGACGGAGTCTCGCTGTGTCCCCAGGCTGGACATTGGTAGGATCTTGGCTCACTGCCATCTCTGACTCCTGGGTTCAAGCGATTGTCCTGCCTCAGCCTCCCATGTAGCTGGGACTACAGGCACGCACCACCATGCCCAGCTAATTTTTGTATTTTTAGTAGAGACGAAGTTTCACCATGTTGGCCAGGATGGTCTCCATCTCTTGACCTCGTGATCCTCAGCCTTCCAAAGTGATGAGAATACAGGCATAAGCCACCGCACCGCACCCAGCCAAAGTTAGGTCTTATATTTCTTTTTATCTCCTCAGCATCTTACAAATAGTAGCTCAAACAAAATATTACATGAAAATAACAAAGAGAAGTGACTGTACACTATCTCAACATTTTAATTCATATTATATTTAACCAAAGTCATCTATAATTCAAAGCAATGTGCAGCATAGTGTAATAGGGAAAAAAAGTACTCAATTTCAGAGTAAAAGTAATGAATAAGGAATCCTGGCTTAACCACATATTATTTACATGGCACAACCTCTCATTCCTTTTCTGTAAATGAGAACCATACTAATACAGGTCCACAATCACTTATCTGCAATTCCCCAGTTCCAAAAGACTGAAAATCTAAAGTTTTTTCCTAAGCCTGTAACAAGGCCATTTAAGTGCAAAACCAGACCTGAAGTGAGGTAATGTATAGATCTTATTTATCTCAGTTAATGTTAATAAGTTTTGGTACAGAAACATTAATATTTTGATTTTAGAGTGTTGGTCTCTTCTATTATGTAACTTTCATGCTTTCTGAATTCTAAAACCATTGGCCTAAAGGGTTTCAGGTAAAGTCTAGGATTCTATATTTCATGTAAGGTTATGAGAATCTTATTACCTAGTGTTTTATAAACTCAAATGGGCTATATAATCTGTTAAGTGGCCAAAAAAAATTATTTTCCTTAATTTTCTAGGTAACCTGTATTTTTAAAATATTAACAAATATATAGACAATTGGTTTTCAACAAGGGTACCAAGTCCATTCAATAGGGGAAAGAACAGTCTTTTCAACTCATGGTGCTGGGAAAATTGGATATCCACACACAAAACAATGAAGATGAGACACTACCTTACATATGTACAAAAATTAAATGACAATGGATCAACGACCTAAATATAAAAGTAAAAACAACAAAACTCTTAGAAGAAAACATAGCACAAAAAGCTTTCTGACACTGGATTTGGCAATGATTTCTTGGGTAATATGCCAAAAACAAAGGCAGCAAAGGAAAAAATAGACTGGACTTCAACCTAAGTGCTCATCAACCAATGAGTGGATAGAGAAAACGTATGTATACAACATGGAGTACTACTTGGCCATACAAAGGGTAGAGATAGGGTGTTTTACAGCAACTTGGATAGAGCTGGAGGACATTATTCTAAGTGAAATAACTCAGGAATGAAAAATCAAGTAGCGTATGTGCTCATTTAAAAGTGGGAGCTAAACTATGGGTACACAAAGACATACGGAATAGTATAGGAGACACTGGAGACTCAGTAGCAGAGAGGGCTTGAGAGGGATGAAAGATAAAAAAAAACTTGCATCTTGGGTACTATGTATACTACTTGGGTGATGGGTGCACTAAAAGCTGAGACTTCACCATTATATAATTTATCCATGTAATAAAAACCCACTAGTTGGTAAAAAGAAGTAAAAAGAAAATTGACAAATTTTAAAAAATAAAGGAAAAAACCACTTGTACCCCAAAAGCTATTGAAATTTAAAAATATATTAAAAAATATAGCTTCCCATATAAAATAGGTGAAATTTAAATATATTAACATAGTATTATGGAATTAGTCCCTAAATAGTAAAATTTTAATAGCTTAGAAAACACCTTTGCTTAAAAAAATTTTTTTGAAGTTTTTCTCCCATAGGAAGTAGATTGATAAAATATGATCATTCTTTCTGAAACAAATTTGATCCGGGTGTTTCTGAATTAATATATGCCTGCAGAATCTTCTAAGGAACACTGAAAAACTTGCAATTCGTGATTATCTTTAAGAAACTACCATAGTGAGGAAGACAGTATTACTATTCAAAGTAACTACTGACCTCTTGACCTCTCTAACTCTCCACTGGCAAATATTATCATTGCATGAGTAAAAACATGCCGTAACCAACCTCTTCTTTGCCCCATAGAACATACTGCTTTCTATGAATGAGTTCCATTTGCTCACAGCAGTTAACTTGTTGTTAATTGATGATCAATATATGAATTCTGAATATTTAAGTATCTTCAACAATAGCATTTAAAAAAAAAAAAGCTTTTATTTCTGTTTTAGTGTATGGAAGAAATGGAATATAATTATGAAAGTAAAGCACTTAAATAATACCTTAAAATACAATTTTACATGATCAAATTAATATAGAAATAATTACAAAGAACTATAAAGTACATGGTTATCTCAGATATAGGTGTATAAGTATAAATGATCCAAATAAATGTATTGCCAACCTCTAAACCACTATCGCTAACTTAAAAAAGTCTTACTTTTATTTCAAATATGCATCAAATGGTAGAAACATCATGGAGAAACAGTTATTGTCATGCAGAATCTGTACTATATGAGCTAATCAGAAAAAAAAAAATTCTAATGGGAAAATGGCCATCTGTCGTATGACAAAAGCAAGATACCAAACTCTAAGAGTATAGTCCCAAATATCTCAAAACAATTACACATAAAACAGAAAATCCAGACTATTCACAAGTAACAACTTTTCAAGGTAAGTAACATTATTGTATAAAATCTCCCTCTTCACATAAAATGCATATGTTCCAATGATGCTGGCAAACCAACCTTACAGCATTCAGGGTCTGAATGTGTTGCCTCAGCACCACTGAAGTTTACTGTATGTCTAGGATCCCCAGAATACACCCAATACATATCAGTATATATACACATACTGGGTGGATAATACGATTACATTAAAAACACTGACATGTAAAGATACATATTTAGGTATTATGCAAGTATACAACATTTTTATTTTCCATGTTTTTATGTGTTTTCCAAAATTTTCTAAACAATCTATTACTTTTATCATCAGAAAAACTGCAAATCGACATATTAAACAAAATGGAAACCCAGAAAGATTCAACCTAAAAAACTTGGGTAAACTTTAGAACACAGTGAAAATGTGTCTGCCATTTTTCTCTGGATAAATTTTATTATCATTACTTTGTATCCTATTTGTTACGAAATATCTTTTCAATGCCTTTTAAAAAGTCCTCAGTCTCAAGGATCAAAATAAAAAACAAAATAAAAATGATTTTCTAATTACAATTTAAAGTTTTTCTGGATTATAGCAATAAGATGTTAACTGAAAATAAACATAGTTCACCACTTGTAAAGAAAGTTATCACTTTTAGGATAAAGTTACTTTGAATTTATAAAAATAGGAACAATAAAACATTTGGAACTTACGGGAAATCCTTTAGTGATAGGAATTTCAATATTAAAGATGAGGATTCGGGCTCTGAAACGAGTGCAAGCTTTAATGGGTTCTTTGGGGCCGCAAAATACACAGCCAACACTGTAAGAACAAAAAGAGAAGAAATAGAAAGGTAGTTGGCGGAGAAATTTACATCAAATAGAAAGACCTCAAAACCATTTACAAGGAAAGTAAAACAATTAAGTAAATTAGGGACTTTTTCTAAATATTCCCTTCGGAGTTAAACCATGGCTTTAAACCTTATATCATTTTTACACATTAGAGCTTTCACTCGAAGCACATGCCAAGTATGTGGGACTGACATGTATTAATTCAAATTTTAAGTAGGTTTGCTTACATTTCCACAATTGTCTATTTTTGGTCAAATGAAATTCAAAATTGAACTAGCAGACTGCAAAATGTATGTGTTTAGAGGTGAGGTCCTATATGAAGATAACAGTTGCTTAAACTCATTTTCTCACTCACTTGATTTTGATGATATCCATCCCAACCAAAGTAAGACTAACATGATCGCCTGCTGCTGCCCAGTCGACAGGTTCATCATGCAAAGTGATTCCTGGAAATGAGTAAGAACCAAAGCGCATAGTGAAACACCTCGATATCAAACCATAACAACCAACAGAGTTTGGCTGATTTGTGCTTCATCAGTCACTATTCATCATTTTCAATATGAATGGATTGAGAGTAAGAAATATAACTGTGAGCGTTGAGGAAAACACACTTCCTCTAGAACTGATTCTCCTAGAATACCACCCTAAACATAAAGAGACTTGTATTTGCCCATAAAAGGCTGACTTCTGCTTATTTAATCAAGGTTTTTAAACTCATTGACACAATTGGTATAGTCATTAAACAGGCCTCATTCAAATATTTGAATGATATATTAATGGATACAGACAAACAGTTCAAATTATTCAAAATGACATAAAACATGGGACTGAAGAAGATGTCTAGCAGTATTTTCTTCTTTTGAATTTTGCTTTTAATTAGACAACCACTTAAACAAGTAATCCTTGTTTTCCAAGTAACCTATGGGACATGTACACTAGGTAAGAATTTCAGATGGCGTTCTCAGCAGGCCTTTTAACTGCTCCTGGCTTAAAAAGAACTTCTTCCCAGAGAAAGATCTGCGTACTAATGACTGGTTATATAAAAAGAAAAACATTAAGGAAATAGTGATAAGAAAATTTAAAAATGATCCTAGGTGTTGCTGTATATCTGGAGATATACATCTATTTACCTAGACATAGTCCTGAAGGTAGTCGTAGAGAGCAGTTCCCAAAAGCAACACTCAGCTACCTTATCCAAAGGCTTTTAAAATATATCTCGCATTTTCTGATTTTATGAAATACATTTATGGATTAAGTTCCTTTCCAAATTCTCTTCACAAAGAGAATGTGTAGGTCAACCACCGTGGATAGCTCTTGACTGACATGTTCTTAGTAAATTATAATCCACCCATATTTTTCTTAAAATACTCATTTCCTATGCAGCAAGGAGAGTTTCTGACTTTTAGGGGGCTCAAGGATAACTTTAAGATCTCTGAGACAATCTAGAATTTTATGCGAAATGTCATGTATGTGCACATGTGCATTAATTTGAGAAAAGAAGGTATAATTTTCTTCAAGTATCAGAGATTCTTCTTCCCAAACATGTTAGCAATTGTGCTATTAAGGAATGTTTGTTAAATATCAACTAACTATATTTAGTTTTAAAATGTAAATTTAGAATGACCCTATCTGAGTTTTGCTATGAAATATGGAACTGAAAACAGAAGCTAGATATTTACATATAATAGAGATTGCCTTTGGCTTAAAAATTTGTAGACGTTTCAGACTACAAGTATAAAATTTTCCAAAGGTACTTAACATTATCTGGTACTTCTTTCCCTCAATCAGGTTACACTATTCCACATGTAACAATTATAAAAATAAACTTTTCTCATGGGACAAACATTACAAAAAGAAGCTCTTTTTTAATACTCCATGAGTTTGACATGTTAATAAAGTAGAAACGGAATTTAGAATTTCTATTTGTTGGTAGTAGATTCAGTCAAGTTTTTTTTTGGGACAGTACTAGTCGGAGAGCCACAGTAGTACCTAAAAATGTTTATACAGAAGAGTGTATTCAAGAACCTAAAACCGAAGCAAAAGCAGTAAGGTGAGAAATTGAGGACTGAGAACTTGTCAGTTTAAGTTAAAAGACTGGCTCTCAAGGATTAGGGCGGTTCTTCCCTGGGGCTTCTGATAAGACTTCTCTCTTAACAAACGCTGATTAAAGATAATGCTTCTAGTTTCTCTGTGTGGAAAGTATAAAGAAGAGGGGGGTAAAGAATGTGAGACTTTCAGAGGTGACTAAGGATTTTGGAGGTTACAAGGGAGTCAATCTTAGGTCTGTGATAACTTTAGGATCATGTTTTAACTCATGGCACGATCATAAAAAAAAATTATTGTTCTCAAAAATGATCATTAGCACATCAAAAACATAGTGTTTCAAAATTATTATAACTCTTGTCACTTTATAAAACAAATGCAGAGGGCTGTACTTGCACACAATGAACAGATCTATAGAAAATGACACTATTTTTAAAGTGCATGTTACTTTCTGTCAAAACAGAAATTTCATGATCCCTAGTGGGCAGGAAAAAAAAGGTCAAATGGAAATAACCAGTTTTCATTCCCTTACTCATCTTTAAATGTAGGTTAAACCATGTAACTTCAATAGATATTCATTAATTTTTTAACTTTTCAAGAAATCTTCTTTTAAAGACAGTATAATAATTCAAGCAAAATATACATTCAAATTTATAAATCAGTCAGGTACAACTCTAGATATGAACTATAGATTAATAGTAACAGGGAAAAATACTAAAATCTAAACAATTTTTATATTTCCAATAGGCTATACTTCAGCTTAAAATGGTTACAAATAATGTTATTTTATAGTATAAAACAGATCTTCACAAGTCAGAGGCTTAATGGTAAGCCGGAATAAAAGAGGTATAGAATTATAAAGCTTTAGTCAAAATTTGGAAAATAATAATATACATACATATACATGTAACATATAAAATGTATTCACATACATAAATATGTATGTCTGTATGTATGTATTAGAAGACAGAAATAATTATCAGTCACTATAAAAAAAAATTAGGTCTATGTGCAGAAACAGTGACTGTGGCAATTTACTACTCAATTTCTCCTTTCAACATTGTTTTTTTTCTGCATTTGAACCTTGCTTACATCTTCCTATAAAATAAACATACATTTTTGGCATAAACATGACCAAAGGTGTTAATTTATAGTTATTCTGAAATACACATTTCAAAGTAACAGACTGTAGCAGGCTGCTTTGCTACTGACTGGTTAGGGTCAGGCTGGGACTAGATTTAATTTCTGCTACAGAATATTATTTCAAATGTATCTGTGAGGTATCCACACATATCTGGTTAAATCCTAACCAGTCTACTCTAATCAGTGTCAAAAATAGAATGCTACCACAGTTAGAATGTGATATGTAAATATATATACATACACAGTCACAACAGAAAAAAATCGTTTAATGTTTTCACATTTTCATCTTCAACAGTTAGTATCAGTTTGACAGTCAGTTACAATTTCGGTAAGACGGTACTTGCTTTGGAGTGGTAACTGAACCACTTTTTAAAAATTTGCTGTCTCAACTTAAGGCTTATTTAGCAAAAGCATCTTGCAGATAAATACCTTTTACAGTACAAGTTTCATTAGGAGGCATTGCCAGTAGTCGGTCACCAGCTTGAATATAACCAGCTTCAATTTTACCAGTTATGCAAAATCCAGATCCCTGATCTGCAAAACATACCAAAATCTTATGATTCATACAGCAATGTCATCTGATGATTAATATTACTAACTATACTTAGTTCCTAAGTAGTCATATAAAACTAGTAGTTCAACAGACATTAAATAATAATCATTTCAGAGTTAACATCTCTACTAAATATGGCATATATTTTACTCTTTTTTGGAAATAAAAGTACTCATATTACAAAAAATAGAGGTTCATTCCTTTCTCAAATATTTATTGAGAAATAATAAGTATTTGAGTACCAGACATTATACTAAACTCGGGGGATGAAAAAATAAAAATATAAGTCCTTGCCCATAAAGATATTATACTAGTAAAGAGAAAGATGAAAACAATTACATTGTCCTGAGACAAACGCTATTTAAAATGTACGATAGAAACAGAAAGGTGTACCAAAGAATCCATGATAGTGGGAACAGAAATCTGGGCACTTTGAAGAAGGAATAAGTGTTTTTTAGGTAGCTTGTATGTATGGGTAGGGAGAAAAGGGGAGACATTGCTGCCCCAGGAAACTGTGTGCAAAGGCATAACCAAATAAAGGATGTGCTAAGAGCCATTTGTCACTTTTGGGGGCTGTGGGGAGGGGACCACACAGAATGATGAAGAAAAGGCAAGACAGGAGGCAACAGAGATAGGCAAGGGAGAAATAATAAAAGGGCCTCACAAATCACACTTAGGGTTTAAATTTCATCCTGCAGTTAAGTAATAGGAAACCAGCAAACATTGTGAACAGAGGTATTTCTGTGTTAGAGTAGAAGCTGATACAAATGCACACACTTACTATTACTACAGAAAGAAATAAACTCAAGAATTTGGGAATAAGGAATAACAAGTTTGGAGTGGTAAGGAAAGTGAAGAATGACAGAAAGTGGAAAATCTGAGATGATGATGCATTAACTGTGAGATATGAAACTAAAGACAAGATCCATTTTAGGCTTGGTAAATCTGAAGTGTCTATGAGACATACACATGCAGAAGTTGCATTCCAGTGGGGACCAATCACACAACATTCCATGAGAATGGTACCCCCAAAAGAACACATTCCCAGGAGAGATGTACAAGTGTGTGGAGAATGAGCAAAAGGTTTGGGTTAGAGATACAGATTTGGAAAGCATCAAGATGCAGAAGTAGAGAAACTCATGGATGTCAGTTCAAAAGGAGCTTGCAGAGTAAAAAGAGGACTGAGGCAGCAGAACACTGTGTAAGAGACAGAGAATGAGGAGCCCATAGAGAAGATACACAGACGTCAGAGAACCAGGCAAGTTAACGGAAGAAAGCAGGTCACAGAAACCAAGGGAGGAAAGTTTCTAGGTGGATGTGGCTACCAGCATCAGAACCAATGCCAAATTCAAGTAAGACAGAATTGAAAGTGTGTTTGACTTTGGCAACCAAGAGGTCATTTCATGACCTCAGGAGGAACACACTCAGGAAAGCAGCGTAGGAAGAAGCCAGGAAGCAGCCTGAATGGGGAACGGGAAGTGAGAAAGTACAGTCAGCAAACACTGTTAATAAAAGAAAAGTAACCAGCTCTTGTATTCTTGATAAACAACGGGCATTCTGGAAACCATTAGCATATTTCCTCTATTACTAGAACACTGGAAGCTAATAATGATAATGACAAATTTCAATTTCATTACATGATTTTTTCAAAGCACATTCATTCATTCATTCATTTTTAATTCATATATTAAATGTATTATGTGTCAGGCACTGGGCTAGGGCTGCAGGTATAGATAAAGAAGAGATAGTACTTCCCTTCAAGGAGTTCACAATGTAAGTAGGATAAATAGCACAGAAAAAATTATAATGCTGCACGAAAGTACAATGACAGAGGATAGAGAGAATACAGAGGGATGCATCAGGGCATGTGCGCAGGTAAGCACGCCAGTTATCAGTTTGCTGCTCAGTTCTAGATCCACTCTGCATTGCCGACTCTGTGACAATGGAGATTTAGAGAACAAATGACATCCTTACAGTTTTTATTATTCTAATAGATAAATCTTATATCCTTTTATTTATTGAGGTTTTACACTGTTATTTCCATTTTATAGTTTTCTATATAGGATCTTGCCTATATTAAGTTAGGTATATTCTTGGGCATTTAATACATCATCTCTTCCAGCAAGGTCTGAACCTGCTCTAAGCTGGTCCTTCCTCAGGCCTACCTATAAAGTTTCTGTATATCTTTTAGCTGCATTTTCATCATAGTCAATAATTCTTTATATTATATTTCCCATTTCACCTATGTGTATCTAACTCCTAACTGGACCCGGACGGCTACAGATAGGTAGGAAATGGACAAGTAAAGGGAAAGAACGACACGACAGGGAAGCATGGATAGACATGTGGAAATAAACACATCCGGTGTGTTTAAGAAACAATGAAAAACCCAGTTGGTTGAAGAACTTGAAAGCTAAAGCAATCTAATGGTAGGAAAAAAACTATGAAGTTGTAAAGACAAAAGGTTTTCTTATGCTTGAAAAGACAAGAAATGGTAAGTAAACTGAAGGTTTTCCTGGACAGGGAAGCTAAGTGACTAAAACTGTGCATTTTAAGATTGACAGTGGTCCTTACTTGGGCATGAAGAAGAGAGACTCTGAAGGCAATATACTATCATAACTTAGTCCAGGAAAGGTCAGGAGGGAATGGGGAAATGGGGGCTCTACTGAAGAAGCACTGCGGAGGTAGCACTTACCTTTGAAAACATCGGCTACACATAATCTAAAAGGCTTGTCAATAGATCGCTGGGGAGGCTTAAAGGAATCTGGAAAAAAATGCAAAAGGCAAGGTTTAATTTAAAATTAAATTTTTGACTCACCTCAATAAACTCATTATAATCCCACTTCTCCCTGAAAATAACTACTTTTTAATATTACTAATAGCAAATGAACTGTCACTAATATGAACTTATAGGTTGAGTACCCTTTATCCAAAATGCTTGGGACCAGAAGTTTTTCAGATTCTGGAATATTTGCATTATACTTACTGTTTTGAGCATCCAAATCCAAAATTCTGAAATTTGAAATACTCCAAAATCTGAAACTTTTTGAGCACCAATATGATGCTCAAAGAAAATGCTCATTGGAGCATTTTGAATTTCAGATTTTTGAATTTGGGCTGCTCAAATGGTAAGTATAATGTAAATATTCCAAAATCCAAAAAAATATAAAATCCAAACACTTCTAGTCCCAAACATTTCAGATAAGGGATATTCAACCAGTAATACTTTGCAGTTTATAAAATGAATGTTAATCTCATTTAATTTCAACAATACTCTATGAGATACGTAAGGCAGGCACTAGCTTCATTCATTGAGGAAAACAGAGCTAACAGGTTAAGTATTGCATATGTGGACAAAACAGGCAACTTAGTTCCTCTGACTACAAATTCTATGCTTTTTCATACATGTGACTATCTCCCATAAAGAACTCTAAATAATAATTAATATCAAGTTTATAATGCAGTAAAGCTAGAATGGCAGTATACTCACCAATCTGTTCTAATAAACACAGTCCTTTATACCATTTTGTGAGTTCACTTGACTGAGATCTTGTGATTAGATTTTCACCACTGAGACCACTTGTAGGAATAAAAGCTACGTCACTCTCCTATTAAAAAGATTGACTTATGAAACTTAACACATTTTTTAAAAACTTAAAAGATTCACCATTACCATAACTGTACCAAGTTTGCAAAAGCAACCACGTATTTTTTAAAAGGTAATAGAAATCATAGAACTACAGCTCCAAAGTTATCTGATTCAATAATTTTCAACTTTTGATTTTGGGAAACTTGCAAATTTATTCCAAAACATTCAAGCATTCGGTATTACATATGCCTGTTAGACAAATTCCTCCCTATCATTTCCACATTCCTCTATGACCTCCCTAAACCTATACCATCTAATTTAATAGGTAGGATATAAGTATTTTGCTTATGTAAAAATGAACCCGAACGTTAAACATATGCAATTTTCTAAGGTGAAACAATCCAAAGAATATATTATATACAGGATATACAAGAGGAAATAAAGCAAAGAGAATTAAACAAATTTAATAAGAATATCAAAGTATTAGTTTTTCCTCTCATGACTTAAGGAAAGGAATAACAAATAAATTTAAAATGATCTTACCTTGAAACCTGCTTGCTTAAGAAAGTGCCCAAGTTTTCCAGTAATCTCTTGAAATCTTTCTTGTTGCCAATTAACCTGATAAAGATCCAATTTATTTTTAAAACTATGCTTCAGAACATGATACATAAAATTTAAATTTCTGCAATGAAATATAAATAATCGACTATATAAAATATAAATACAAAATCTATTAAAATCAAAACACAGAATATCAGATCTTGACACTAATACAATTTAAAAGTAATTTTCCCTAAAAGAGAAAGCCTAGAAATAATCTCCAGTACATTTAGAATTTTTTATATATGCTCAAAGTGATTTCAAATCTAGGGTGGAAAAGTGAGTATTTTACTCCCTTTTGCTTAGGCCAACTGTTAGAATAAAATAAAATTATTAGCACTCCCCTCAAGCAAAAAAGACTAAAAAAGTATATGTAATATGAACTCTAGATAATGACATGTCACTGCAGTATTTAGGGGTCTGCAACTTACAGGGAAATGCATGCCAAAGAAATGGATTAATGGATGAATAAAGAAGTAGACAGAGAAACCAACATGTGATCAAGTAAGAGGCAGAGTCTTAGTAAGTGGGTGTAATATGGGTGCTTACTGTAAAATTCTTTCAACTTTTCTTTATATTTGAAATTTTTCATGGTCAAATGCTGGGAAAAAATTAAAAGTACATATACTAATAATACCATAAAGGAGCTAATAGCAAATGTAAGTGAATCAGATCCCAGGGTAAGAAAATACCTAAGTAGGTTGGGTGCAGTGACCCACACCTGTAATCCTAGCACTTTGAGAGGCTGTGGCAAGAAGACAGCTTGAGCCAGGAGTTCCAGTCCAGCCTGGGCAACACAGAGAGACACTATCGCTCCAAAAAACTAAAAATTAGCAAGGCATGATGATACACACCTGTAGTCCCAGCTACTAGTGAGACTGACATAGGAGGATTGCTTGAGCCCAGGAAACGAGGCTGCAGTAAGCTATGATGGCACCACAGCACTCTAGCCTGGGCAACAGAGCAAGACTCCATCTCAAAAAAGAGAAAACACATAAGCATAAAGACAGAAGTCAAAAGGAACTATTTATAAAGTTGAGTATATATCCAAAATATACCATAAACAAAAAGTAAAGTAACAAATTGGGAAAGATATCTAAGAGAGGATAGAGGGGTGATATCTTTAATAAATAATGTTTACAAATTGATAAGAAAAAAATACAGTTCCAAAAAAGAGCAAATTATATAAATAATTCCCAAAAGAAAAAACAAATTGTAAATATACAGAATATATTTACATACTAACATTCACAGAGGAGTAAATTTTTTTAAAAAGACGAATCATATTTTATATATAAATTGGGAAAACAATTTTATAATAACAGCAGTGTTGATAAGGATTAAGGAAAATAAATACACCGTATGTGCCAGGAGTAAATAACTAAAATTTTGCTCAAAGGCATTTTAAACATCGAATCTTAAAAGGTTCAGCAAATCTTAAAAGGTATATTCCCTTAGGCCCAGAAACTTCCATGGAATGAACCATTTCTAAATACACACAGAGGAAATGTTCAAAAGTAGATGTTTAATAAATTATATCTTTAAAATAGAATAGAGCCATTAAAACAGCATCCTCTTTATCCAAGGATTATTAATTACCTGGAAACATGCACAAGACAAGAAAATTATCTTTTTTAAAAAAGCAGAATAAAACAGATAACCCAATGTTGTAAATAAAAAGATTATTTTTAAAAATTGGATGAATATATAAAATGAAATGTTATAAGTTGCTGGGTGGGAAGGAGAATTGGAAATATAGGTTTATTTCTGATTTTTATACTTTACTCCACTAAAATAAACATGTATTGTTTTATAATTTAAAACAATTTTTAGGTTTTAAAAATTAATTTTGAAAATAAGAAGACATTTTCTTGCTTAAAAATTACTAACATCTCATTTATTTAAGATGAGAACAGAGAATTTATTTTTAAAAACATGGCAATTGACTAACAAAATACATACTAGTCACATTTGAGGTCATCCATATGAGCAGAATAACACCTTAATTAGCATCTTAAAAAAAATCCTCACAAAGCCCTTAAATACCTGATCCATTTTATTAACTGCAACTGCAAGCTGCGTCACTCCCAGAGAACGGACCAAGAGTCCATGCTCTCGTGTTTGTCCTCCAGTCTCAAATCCAGCTTCAAACTCTCCCCTGCTGGCATCTACAACTAAAACAGCTACATCTGCCTAAAAAAGAAAAATAATTGAAACCAGAAATAATATTTCAGCATTTTAATTTAAAGGACAGATTATTCAATTAATTATGTTAATCAGATATTTTAAGGAAGACTCTAACTACCGCCACTAAAGCAAATCAAACAAAAGACTCCCAAAGATGGATTAAATTTTAGGATTAAAAAATCACCAAAAGTAATGACATGAAGAACAAGAAAAAATGTCCATATCTGATTATACAACAATTAAAATATCTAAGCAATGGTGGAAAAACAAATAAAATTAAAAACATAAGTAAACAGCAGCTGGGCACAGTGGCTCACAATTGTAATCCCAGCACTTTTGGAGGGAGGCTAAGGCAGGCAGATCATCTGACGTCAGGAGTTTCAGACCAGCCTAGCCAATACTGTAAAACCCCATCTCTGCAAAAAATACAAAAATTAGCCACGTGTGGTGGCACACACCGGTAGTCCCAGCTACTTGGGAAGCTAAGGTATGAATATCACTTGAACCTGGGAGGCAGAGGTTGCAGTGAGCCAAGATGGCGCCACTGCACTCCAGCTTGGGCAACAGAACAAGACTGTCTCAAAAAACAAAAAGGGACAAATATTTGTAACATGTAAGGTAAAAGTTATAATCTCTATAGAGTCTTTACCAAAAAAACCCCCAAAAAAACAGAAAACAAGAAGACATAGCTTTAAAGGATACACGCAAGCTATTTGCTAAAGAAATATAAATGGTCAACAAACATGAAAAAAATTCAAATTCAGTAGAAACCAAAACTTTTTAAAAAGTAAATTAAAAACACATTGGCATATTCCTCTGCTCCGTTGTTAAAGGTTTAAAAGACAAAATTATTTGCTGTAAGCAAGAAGGACATTCTCAAATATTGCTGATAGGACTGTAGGTGCACAGCCTTCCAGGGGGCGTTTTCATGAAAAGTATCAAGAACTTAAAAATTATGAATATTTTACCTCCCATCAATTCTACCTCTAGGAATATATCCCAGAGAAGTAAGCATAGATTTACAAAGATATTCATCAGAATATTATTTAGAATGAAGAAAAACTGCAAATAAATGAATTATCAAAAAGCAGTGTATTCATCCTCTACAGCTATTGAAAAAGAGCCTTGTATAACAAAGTTTTCTAACCTTTGTGGACCATCTTGTGAATCAGAAAGACATTTCTTTCAGACTCAAATTACACACGCCATAAAAGAAGCAAGCTAACCTTAGCTTAGCTCACTTTCTTTGTTAGCCTTATTGAAACCAACTTTATAGGTTCCCACTATTCTTTTGTGTTGATGCCACATCATGTGGATCCAGCCTTTTAAAATGTGCAACAGACAATTTGTGCAACCATAAGTGTTCCTCCTTTTCATTCTTATCAATTATTTCTGTCAATGCACTGTAGGGGCATTTTTTAAAGAACACTCTTTTATTTTCTCTTTTACAGCTTTTGCTTTGTACCTGTTTGTCACAGAAATCCACTTTTACGTAATCCAGGAAACAGTGACTACATGTGGCATTCCCCTCTAGCTATCTAGAGGCTGTTAACGATAATCCCTTTCTCTCAGGGTCCTCTTATATTCCATCCACATCATTAAGTTCTCCTGCTTTCTGGTCAGAACAGGGTCCACAACAGCTTATTTTTGTGTTGCTTCCCGAATGACTGTGCTGTCCAGTTTTTAAAGAATTTCAGCCGGGTGCGGTGGCTTACGCCTGTAATCCCAGCACTTTGGGAGGCCAAGGCGGGCAGATCACGAGGTCAAGAGATCGAGATCATCCCAGCCAACATAGTGAAACCCATCTCTACTAAAATAAAGTACTAAAATAAAATACAAAAATTAGCTGGGCGTGGTGGTGCACACCTGTAGTCCCAGCTACTTAGGAGGCTGAGGCAGGAGAATTGCTTGAACCCGGGAGGCGGAGGTTGCAGTGAGCTGAGATCACAAAACTGCACTCCAGCCTGGCGCCTGGTGACAGAGCAAGACTTTGTCTCAAAATAATAATAATAATAATAATAATAATTTCACATGTAATATATAATCCTCACCATAAGGAAAACAAATGGTCATAAAATATGTCAAGAATGTCTCAGATACTTTCTCAGAATAGAACATTACAATTTAAAGTGAAGTATCTGGCCGGGCTGGGGGGCTCACGCCTATAATCCCAGCACTTTGGGAGGCCGACGCGGGCATATCACGAGGTCAGGAGTTCGAGACCAGCCTGACCAATATGATGAAACCCCGTCTCTACTAAAAATACAAAAATTAGCCAGCCGTGGTGGCATGCACCTGTAGTCCTAGCTTCTCAGGAGACAGGAGAATTGCTTGAACCCAGGAGGTGGAGGTTGCAGTGGGCCAAGATCGCACCACTGCACTCCAGCTTGGGAGACAGAGCAAGACTCCTTCTCAAAAAAAATAAATAAAAATAAATAAATAAATTGAAGTACCATCCATATACTTGGTCTGGTGGGGCAATTTACACTATTCCCATTTCCTTTTACTTGTACCTAAATACTCCTGCTTTGTCTCTACTCTTAAGTGCAGTCTTCACTTCCAATCCGTCATATTTTATAAAGCTGAACACTAATTTCCTCAATGAGATCCAGCTCTTTTGATCAAGGATTCTTAGATAAGAGTACAAACGGAAGCAATCAATTTGAAAATTGGCTCTTTCACGAATACTTGTAGTCAGTAACTGCTCTCCACGTCTCAGGCAAGTTGTCTAACCTGTCTGGGTTATCAATGTACTTACTTCACAGAATCACTAGGGGATAAATATAGTTTATATAAAACATTCAGACCTGAACTTCCAAGTCCTAGTCTCAGTAATTGAAAATCTTTTTCTCATTAGGTTTTCATAATAACTGTAAAACTCTATTTACCTTCTTAGGTTAAAATGTGAAATTCATTGAACTGGTATTAAGATGCCTAAGGCCACAAATGTTCTACCTAATCTTCCTATTACGATCGCCAAAAAAATTACTGGGCAATTTCTGTATTAATGTTATTTCTAGGCAATAACTCTTGTCTTTGGGAATCCAAATGCCTACTACACATTTTCAAGGAAGCCTCTGAAGATCAAGCAGAATAAAGTGATCTCTCCTCATAATGTGTATCTTCTCTGTTCTTCCTGGAGTGCAACTGTTAGCCTTTCATCTTCACATCTCATCTTCCACACTGTGATTTCCCTGAGGCGAGGGAGATGCTTTGTATGTTTCGTGTTCCCAAAGCCTACTGCAATATTTTGCACACTGGGCAAGTTACTTAACATCTTTGAGTCTCTTTATTTGTTACATAATGGAATTCAATTAGATGATCTCTAAAATCCTTTCCTACCATAATTCCAGAAAGTGTTGGAAATAAATGATTTTTGTTTTTGAGGCAGGGTCTCACTCCCTTCAGTCACAGCTCACTGCAGCCTCAACTTCCCCAGCTCAGCTTCCTGAGTAAGTGAGACTACAGGCACCTGCCACCACATCCAGCTAACTTTTTTGTATTGTTAGTAGAGATAAGGTTTTGCCATGTTGCCCAGGCTGGTCCTGAACTCCTGGGTTCAAGTGATCTGCCCACCTCAGCCTCCCAAAGTGTTGGGATTATAGGCATGAGCCTCCACACCTGGGCCTGGAATAAACAATCTTTATAATAACTATGGCTCTAAGGTCCTAGAATTCAAAAGCATTTTTACTATAACTGCTTGTTCTGGTGTTTGTCTCTCCCATTAAACTATCAGTCTTTGTAGACATTGTATTCCCAGACTGCCTATCACAGTGCTTGATACATAGCCAGCATTCAACTCGCAGACACACATACACACACACACACACACACACACACACACACATACATATACACATATAAAGAAAAATCAAAACTATACTGTATTCTTTGGTAAATGCAATGAGAAGTACAGTTTCCTTCAGTAACAGTGAGGGATTGGTTCCAGACCTTCCAACCCCCACAGATACCAAAATCTATGAATGCTTAAGTCCCTTATACAAAAGGGGTAGTCTTTGCATATAGCCTATACACTTCCCCTCGCACACTTTAAATTATCTCTAGATGATGTGCAACGTCTAATACAATGCCTACACGTCACTTCACTTCACTTGCATAGATTCAACACAGTATTCAGCATGCAGCAAATTCAAATTTTGCTTTTCGGAACTTTGTGGAATTCCACCACCCCCCCAAATATTTTTATCCACAGTTGACTGAATCCACAAATGCAGAACCAATGCATATGGAGGGATGATTGCATACTAATTTAAAATGGTGACAATATATACTTCATAGAGTTGTTATAAAGATTATATTAAACTAAATGCATATAACACCTAATATAGTGTCTGGCCCATATTCGATACTCAATTAACAGTGATAATTACTTTATTTCAATCTTTTATCACATTCAGTCCATGAATCTTGAATTAATATTCTAAAATTACAAATCAACTTTCTAAAATGGAATCAAATAATTTCTCATTTATCTTCATATATAATATATTCATACAGTATCCTTTTTGGTTGACAAATGTTTATCTTAAAATTCTCTTTTTGGCTGGGCACAGTGGCTCACACCTGTAATCCCAACAGTTTGGGAGGCTGAGGTGGGAGGACTGCTTGAGCCCAGGATTTTAAGGCCAGCCTGGGCAATACAGTGAGATCCCGTCTCTACAAAAAATTTAAAAATTAGCCAGGCATGGTGGCACAGGCCTGCAGGCCCAGGTACTCAGGAGGCTAGGGTGACAGGCTCACTTGAGTCTGGGAGGTTGCAGATGCAGGGATTGGTGATTGTGCCACTGCACTTCAGCCTGGGCTACAGAGTGAGACTCTGCCTCAAAAAATTACTCTTTTAATGAGTGGAACCCAGAAAATGGTTAATTGCTTGAAGTCACACTTTTGCCGTGTTACAGAACCAAATTATTTTAACTCTTCCTGTTTTCCAGTAACCATCCATTATGAAAGAAATCAATGCCCTACATATGCAGTGCTATTTTCATTGCTTTAATCATTTAGAGTTACTGTGATGTGCGGCACAATGATGTTTTGGTGAGCCATGGACCGCACATACGATGGTAGTCCCACATTAAAATTGTAATAGAGCTGAAAAACCCCCATTGCCTAGTGATGTCGTAGCTGCCACAATGTCACAGCACCATGTATTACTCATGTATCTGTGATGATACTGGTATAAACAAATCTGTGCTGCCAATTATATAAAAGAATATGGCATATGCAATTATGTACAGTAGTTTATAACAATAATAACTATGATAGTGGTTCATGTACTATTTTTCACTTTATAATTATTTTAAAATACATTCCTTGCATTTATTAAAAAATAAGTTAACTGTAAAACAGCCTCAAGCAGGTCCTTCAAGAGGTATCCAGAAGAAGGCATTGTTATCATAGAAGATGGCAGCTTCGTGCGCGTTATTGCCCCTGAAGACCTTCCAGTGGGACAAGACGTGGAGGTGGAAGACAGTGATATTGATGATCCTGATCCTGTGTAGGCCTAGGCTAATGTGCATATTTGTGTCTTTGTTTTTCACAAAAAAACAGTTTAAAAAAAAAAAAAAAAAAAAAAAAAAAAATTAAAACTGCTTATGGGCTAAGGCTATACAGAAAGAAAATATTTTCGTACAGCTATACAATATGTTTGTGCTTTAAGCTAAGTGTTATAAGAGAGTCAGAAAGTTTAAAAATTTTAAAGTTTATAAAGTAAAAAAAGCTTCAGTAAGCTAAGGTTAATTTATTATGAAAGAAAAATATATTCTTAAATAAATTTAGTGTTGCCTCAGTGTACAGTGTTTGTAAAATATACAGTAGTGTGCAGTAATGCCCTAAGCCTTCACATTCACTCACCACTCACTCACCCACCAAATCATCCAGAGCAACTTCCAGTCCCACAAGCTCAATTCATGGTAAATGCCCTATACAGGTGGACCATCTTTTATCTTTTATGTTCTATTTTTACTGTACCTTTTCTATAACATGCTTAGATCAGTTTAGATACACAATTACCACTGTGTTACAACTGCTTACAGTATTCAATACGGTAATATGTTAAACATGTTTGTAGCCTTGAAGCTACAGGCTCCATGTAGTCTAGGTGTATAATAGATGTTACCATCCAGGTTTGTGTAAATTACACTAATATGTCCACAAATGATGAAGCTGCCTAACAACTCGCTTCTCAGAACATATCCTTATCATTAAGGGATGCATGACTGCAAATTATATTTGATTTTTTGTAGCATTCTTAAGAATCATGTAATTTACAAATTGCAATGCTTTTTAATATTATAAAAGAAGTAAATAAACCACTGGGTGAAAATATCCAAGCTTCATTATTTCTGCATAAATAAGCTCTTTAAAAAGATATGGGACTTGAATATATTGAAAGACATAAGGCAGATTTTGAAATATTCATGCCAACTTATCAATAAAGGAAATATGAAGCTATACCTCAAGTCCTTTACCATTCCTTTTACGATAAAGAAATTCATAGCTTTTATACATTTTGTTTCTTTGTAAGAAAGTTAACAAGATTTTACAAAGTACAGGTAAAAAGATCATGAAAAATACAATATTGCTGTATTCTCGTTCAAACTTGATAAAGGTTAAGACTTTCCATTTTAAAATATTTTAAAAGTTAAAATCCTAGAATTGTAACCTCAGCATCAGGAAATTTTATAAAGTACAATCAGTACACTATCGTGAAGAAAATATCAGTTACCTGGGCTGCTCCTGTAATCATATTTGGAATGAAGTCCTTATGGCCTGGAGCATCCATTAATGTAATAACTTTGGTTGTGGTTTCAAACTTGGTCATACCAACATCCATAGTTACTCCCCTTAAACAAAACATAAAATGGTTAGAATGTACTATGTAAATAGTGCTATACAGTAAATTAATAATAGTCTACATGGCCATCTAAATTCTTAGGTAAAAACGGAAATTTTATTTATAGACCATTATTTTTGACTAATTAAATTATCAATCAGAGCTGGAATGTCTGGTATCATAGAAGTGCATTCATATAGCTTTAACACAAAGTTGTGGTCGCAGTAAGAGCTCAATAAAAATGATAGTTATGCCCTCTTACCTTAGTGTAAATTGTGAACAAAGAAAGATATATGGGGACAACTCTAAATGGGGGGAAAATACTGCACATGAGAAAAGATAAATGAAAAATTACCATTACCAGGAGGTAATTTTCTTCATATTCTATGCCTATGCTTTACTAGTTATAGAAATGAGCTTCTAAAACTTTCATTTGCAAGGTTGGTCAGTATGTTACATATTTAGAAAACATGAGATATCGAAGCAGATGCTTAATTTTTAAGAAACGGAGAGACATGAACAGCAGACTGCTTTTTATGCTATTTAATTCTTCTTGGAGACCAACACAGTGCCTTTTTTCAGCCACAAGAAATATAGATTCAGATCAGTGAAATGCTTGAGATTAGAAGTTTTTCAAATTTCACATTTGTTTGGATTTGGAATATTTGCATATACGTAATGAGATATCTCAGGGATGGGACCCAAGTCTAAACACAAAATTCATTTATGTTTCATATGCACATTATACACATAGCCTGAAGGGAATCTTATGAAACATTTTCAGTCATTTTGTGTGACCTGTCATATGAGATCAGATATAGAATGTTCCACTTGTGATGTCATATCAGCACTCAAAAAGTTTCAGATTTTTGAGCTTTTTGAATTTCAGATTTTCAGATTAGGGATGCTCAGCCTGTATAAAAAGGCCTAAGGAAGGTCTACAGGCACACTCAGTCATTCTAGGCCTCAGAAATCTAGCTGGGGAAATCACGCAGGCAATAAACGAGGTCTGCCCCCAAATCATCCAAAGTAATGAATAACAACACTCCCTTTTACTACTGAAAGAATACAACAATTAGAATAACAAACTATAGGTTTGTTCTAGCAATAAAGTAACTGTGGGTCTCCTTAGTCAAGACATTTGAGTTTAACCTTAAAGCATAGGCCATCCAAGTTTGACAAAGTGATGCTTAATTCTCTTTAATAATTCCCAATAAACCAAGGACCACAGGCACCTCCAGAATAATGGTGAACTAAGACTTATTCTGAGATCCTCTGTAGACTGACCTAAGTATACTCTGCTGACCCAGCTCTGATTTCAATTTGTAACCCTAAGGATATGTAATGTCATTGCAACCCAAAGGATATGAAATTTACTCATTTCTGTTCTTCAGTATCTGAGAACAGGGGATTTACAAATATTTAACATGGTGGGATAAGCAACATATTACATTTTGTAAATGCTATTAAGGAACATATGGTGGTGAACCAAAACTCCCAGTATATGCCTGAAAGAATCTGCTATCTATGGAATGAGGAAATATTCTAAAACCTATATCATGCTGAGCAATAAAGAACTACCAGCAGCAAAAATATGAAAACCAATCAATAGATACATTATCCAAAAAGCTAAAATGACTGACCAAATCGATTATTAGTTCACTTGCCAGCTCAACTAAGATACTAGGTAAATTCAAGTGACTCATTCTAACTTAAATTATACTGTTCTCAATGTCTTTACCTACTTATTAGATAATGCAAAGAAAACTAAAAAGCTACATACTTTAATAATGTGCTTGTTAAACTGACAGGTGAAAATTATTTAGGCTTCTAATATTGTATCATATACAATTCCATTGTTTTCCATAATTGGCAACTGTCCAGCTAATTTTTCTTACTAGGCTAGAAAACAGGTCCGTGATACTGTATAGAATTAAAGATACCCACAAAGAATGAGAAAACATTATGATACAAATTCCGGTTTACCAGAAGGGGTAAGGAATACTGTGACCTGCTTTACAGAACATTATCTTATATATTTTAATGGAGACTGTCCAAGACTGCAAGAAAATACACATTAAAAAGGCATGAAAATTCAGATATATTCTCCGAAAATCAGACTGAAGACATCAGGGAACACAGTTTAATCTCATTGTTAATTTAAGACTTTCACAGGACTTGATTTGTAAAGAGTTATTATTTTGACACAGTTGATATATCTGCCAAGACATTATCAAGGTGTCCTTTGGCTCTCCTACCCTAACAATGATATATACTGTTGCTCTAAAAATACTTCAAAAGAAATACTATTCTTTGGCCAGAGTATATTAGTAGCTGCATATTCCTATTAGAATCTCCCCAAAATTAGCACTCAACACAGTAACAGAGAAAGAAAAGTAACTGACTGGATTCTAGCTGCAGAATTACTTGTTTGCTGACTGTCTCATAAAAACAGAATATATAAAGTATAAAAATGAACTGTTTAGTAATCTGAATTTGCTGGTTACTTAGATTCTAGACAAAAGAGGTTTTACTACAGTTACATTTCCTTTGTAAGCTGACATGAAATTAAAATCTTACTCATAATTTTAATTCAAAATCAAGACAATTTAACATATACTTAAGGAACTGACAACTGAAACTTATCTCACAGAATAATTAGCTTACGATTTTTACTGTTTTTTTTTTTTTTCTGCATGGCTTTTGTTTTACTTTGTCTCTGACAAACATTCTTTAATCTATTTCCATAAAGTTCAGGAGTAAAAACAGTATGTAGATTACAGCAAAAAAATCAAAATATTTCCCCAATATTTAAAAGCTATTTTCTAAAAATAGTCTCTAAAGTATTTCATATGTTTTACAAATTCGAGACATATTACACACTTATTTTAGAAGACTGTATAACTTCAAACTGAAAATTGTGAAATATAGTGACTACCTTTCCCTTTCTTCGCCAGTCTCATCCAAGACCCACGCATATGCAAACGAAGCTTTGCCAGCCTTTTTAGACTCCTGTTCATACTTATGCATAGTTCTTTTGTTTACATTACCCAGAAGATAAAGCATATGGCCCATCAGAGTACTTTTCCCAGCATCAACATGACCTAAAGAAAATTGATTCAGGATTAATACCAGGTACATTTCCAGACATTCACATTGAGGCACTGCATAAATGTATAACTCAATATTTCATGTCAGTGGTTTACAGTAATAATATCAGTATTTATCAAATGACAGTTAAAACATCTAAATAGAAAAAAAAGAGCATGTCTCTTTACAGAGGGGGTAAGTTTCTCAGATTTTTGGAAATTAAAATTGTCAACAAGACATGCCAATTTCAAAATGTTCACAAAACGAAAAATCCCACAACCAAGTGTAATGACTTCTTCGGTAACTTGGCATTCTCTCTCCTCAGGTGACTAGAAAGCATTATGAGTACGTGCCTCCTCGCTTTCTGTCCATTCCACCTATGGAGAAACTCAGAATTTCCATGCGGCCACAAAACAGTGGGCAGGCTAAGGCATGGAGGCTGGCGATCCAGAGGGACAAAGGGCATTACCAATGACCACTAAGTTGAGGAGCTGCTTCCCTCCTTGCCGCTTCTCCAGTTCCACCTTCACATCTATTTGCTGTCTCAGCTTGCCAGACTTTTTCACTGACGCTGGGGCTGAACTCTGCTCTTCTGATGCTTGAATCATGTGGGGTGGATTAGCAGATTTAGAAGCAGTCTCAAGAACATCAGAAGAAGCAATGCTGACATCTTCACTGGGCGGTCCCTTTTGAGGTGTGTGGAAACTATGATCGTTTTCTTCAGAAGTTACTCTACAGAAGGCAGATAGGAAAAAAGCATTTTAAACCAACTCGACTGATGTTCTATAATGTCAGAAGGCCAGAAAACTGTTTCTTCATAATTCTTTATACTCCAGACCAAAAATAATCTCTGCTAAGTAGCTAGAGTCTGTTAAGGTGGAAATGATAAGTAGGTAGACTCAAACCACACAAATACAGATGTGGAAGATCCCAAGAGAAAAACTGTGTACCAAAAAATGAAGGTAAGAAGAAAATATCTTAAAATATAACTAAAATTCAAAATCTATGCCCACAGCCTTGGCCATATAATCCATCCTATCAAAATCAATGGTATAAAGGGGATATTTTGTAAAAATGGCACAAAATGTATTACTGGAGTAGAATTAGTACTAAAATATAGTTTTACCCCAAATCATCCTTCCAACATGATAAACTTATGAACCTTTTTACTATCTCACTTAGGGAAGATATCTCTAAATGACTACAGTTCATAAACATTTTTGACAGTGGAGCTTTAATTAATTAATTCAACAAACACTTGATTTACTAAAAACTACAACATATACTGGGAATGATGTTAAAAAGAAAATGACATAGAAATGAAAAAGCTAACTACCACTCCCAAAAGATTACAATCTAGTGAGGAACTCAGATATGTAAAGGAGAAACAAGACTATCCAGCTTAACTTATTCTTTCCTTGAAAGAATATAACATCCTTAGAATAATAAATTGTGTATTCTATGTATTTCCTCTCTCCCTCGATGGAAAAATCCCAAAATAGAATTAAATGGCACTCAAGAATAAGGACAAAAAGGGCAATTATGATTTTGATAACCCAATCCTAATTCACAAGGAAAAAAGACATACATGAAGATTTTTGAGACTGAATCAGAATTCTAAATTATTTTAACAAGCTAAAGTTACTCATGATAAAAATTAAATTTTTCATTCATCCAATCATTCAATTAATGTATACTGAATGCCTACTATGTCTTAGAGAAGGTGTCCTTTCCTTCCCTGACTTTGAAACCTATAAAATCCAAAAATTGAACTAGGTGATGATTAACATTCTTCCCAACCAAAACCCATGATACCTCACTAATTTAGATAAAAGAATATTGTAAGGGAAAAAAATAAGGCTCCTGAGTTTGTGTTTCTTAAAAAATATAATTTTGGAAAAGGGAGAAAAAAAGGAAAAAAAAGTATATAAAAATCTATTGTTTATAGTAAAAACCTATTGTTTATATTTGATAACAATGTTTATCAATTTGGCGGACAAAATGCATGTAAGTAACAGCTTTATTGAACAACTGAAAATTCTGAAAAATTTTGGAACTTAACAATTAATGGCTTCAAAGCAACTCATTTCCCTTGTCTTTAAGAACTCCTGGAAGGACTCTAGAGACTGTGAAAATAACAAACATAAGCTACAAGGTATGGTGATTTCCATTTTCACAAGATATTTGAAATTCCAGGTGTGTATCATATCATCTGTCTTTGCCACAATGATCCAATTCATTCAATATGAAAATTCAAAAGAGTTTAAAAACATTTCAGTCATTAAAAAATTTAACTAATGATTCCATGATTTGCTGACTCACTCTGAAGTCTGGTTACCCGTGCCACCTAGTGGTATAAGAATTCCCTATCTCACAGTGCTAGGTTTCACTAAATCAGATTTTTTTTATGTTAAAGTAGCTATAAAATACTTATGTGAGAAAATTGACAGTGAGGTAGGATAAGTAATACACATACATAAGGCCAAAATCAAGCCTAATTTCTCCTTTTGTCTCTTTGCACTATGTTATACTGAGGATATATGATACTTCAATGCAAATGACACATTATGCAAAATTGAAAGTCTCTTTCTCACAGACTAACAGGAGACAATACGTGAGGCTGGCGGTATACATGGGGGTGGGGGTGAGGGAGGTACTCAAAGTCTTACCCAGGCACTTCAAATCCCATAGTTTGCTTCTTTCCAGATACAGTCATTATAGCAACTTTTGGCACAATTTCAGATTCACTTCGCGATGACTGGGAAGCTACTGGTTTTCCTAATTAAGGAGTAAAATATAAAAGGCCAATTAATTTCTTTAGTAATATACAGAAATCTATTACATATTATTTTAAATTATAGTTTATAATTTTCACAGAATTCATGTCTTTATAAACCTACTATCTCTTCTCTAAAAAAATTTAGTGAGATATTAATGCTGAAAGAAATTCTGTCACTTTAATCTAGGAAATCCCCTATTGCCAGGACTCTCCTATGCTTAACCTCCACGAAATCTCTTCCTAATTTTGAACTGACTGTTAAGTTTCAGTATGAAGAGGTCACAAGGTAGTTTCTACACTGAGCCTTGTTCTGACATTATACCTAGACCCTATATCTCCCTTTCCTACCACGCCCTTTCACAATACTAAAATTGTTTGGTCAGTTAGCAGATGGCTAAACTATTTTTAATCCTGTGAGATTTATGAACTGATGAACAAGTTGAGAGTCTGCTGAATTACGCTGGAATATTGTATATATTTTACTTGCACACAACACTATACTAAAATACTGATATCTACAAAGAACCTGGGGAAAGAGGTTAATGTAGAAAAAACAAATTAAGAACATGGGGGAATTAGCCAGGCATGGTGGCAAGTGCCTATAGTCCCAGCTACTTGAGAGGCTAAGGTGGAAGGTGGTTTGGGCCCGGGAGTTTAAGGTTGTAGTGAGCTACAATCACACCACTGCACTCCAGCCTGGGTGACAAAGCAAGATGCCATCTCTTAAAAAAAAAAAACAAGGAGGAAAATAAATTATGAGCTAGCTCAAATTTATTTTTTTTTTTGCATTTGATCCTTACATAATTCATTCCACTTTTAAAAATTTATCTTTATAATTTTCAGAAAGAATGCCATCAGGATTGGATCCACATAAAACTATGGAAACTACGTGAGCTACATTGGTAAATACATATACAGAAACCACAAACAATTAAGAAAAGGTAAGTTAATGTATAAAAATCATTTAAAGTATTTGCTATTTGCCTACTATGTACCAGGCACTATGCTGGAAATGTGATGGTGAAGAACAGACATAACACTTGCTCTAAGAGAGATTACATTCTAGTGGGGAAAACATACTAAATGATTTTTTTTTTAAGTACAATTAAATCTGTTATTAGTGTTATAAAGAATCCATATATGGTATGCCATAACATTTGATAATAGGGCAAATGACTTACAGAGCTTCTCTAGGAAAGTGAGAAATGGTGCTATGATGGGGAAAATTAATCGAAATTATAATAACTAGTACAGAAAGGAGGAGCATTCCAAGCAGAAAGAGAAGCTTGTCTAATGCCCTTTTGTAGGAGGACGCACAGTTCTTCAGAGGGAGAGAGCAGAAGGGGAGCTACATGAAGCTGGAGAGATGGACAGGGCCAGCCAGTGCAGGACCTTTAGGCCACACCAAAGATCCTAATGCTTATTCTAACAAAGACGGAAGTTACCAAAATGAGATAAGCAAAAGTGAGGGGAAGTGGGAAGAGAGAAGAGAGGATGAAGTAAAGGGACATCTGAAAATAAACAGTTTAGGGATGGGAGAATTTTGAGATTGAGACATATTAGGAATTTGGACCTAATAGTTGAGATTTCCAAATGACAATGAAGGTCAAACAGGCAGTTGAACATGTTGGTCAACCTCAAAGGAGAGGTCTGAGCTGCATCAGCACATAATCAGTAATTGAACACATAGACACAAGCAAGAGAACCAAGGGAGAGAGCACAGAGTAAGAAGAGAAGTGGTCCTAGGAAGCCTTGAAAGAGCTCTAGCATTTGATGCCAAGATAGTGGAAAATATGCCTACAAAAAGGTGAAGGAGAGCCAGGGAGGGTGGTACCAAGGAAGCTAAGGGAAGGGAGTGTTTGATGGAGTTGGCATCACCAGGATCTGGGGCTCTGGGCCAGTCAACTGAATGAAGACCAAAAACATTCACTGGTGACATGATCATTTTTGATAAAAAGTCATTGGTAGAGTTAGCAAGAGCAGCTGAAAATAGTGGGAAAAGTAAAGGCCAAACTAGGTTAAAAAATATAAGGTGAGAAAATGAAGGTATGTTCACTACTTCTCATCTGTAATTTCAAAATCCAAAAGCACTGAAATATTAAAGTTTTGGGTTTTGTTATTTTAATAACTCCCTTGGAAGCAAAATCTGATATGGATGACATAAGGCTATTTATCTAAAGCACTTATTGATCCTACTTAAACTGACAAGCCACACACCTCAGGGCAGAAATAGCAATGTGTCTAATTACAGGGAACTGCTCCACAATTCACTGGGGCTATAATACTACAGATGGTATGTACACGGTAATGTTTTTCTAAACACAGAATATTCCAAATTCTAAAACTAATCTGACCCCAAGGGCTTTACGGATTGCATATGTATGAAAATGATTCTTTAAAAAGTTTGTCTGGAAAGGGAATAATATGGCAGAATAGCAGTAGAAGGGCGATATGGGATCAAGCTGATGGAAAAGATTAAATGGAGAAGATTTAGTTGAATACATTATGAAGATATGAAATCATCAATATTTTAGAGTTTCTGAGAAGGTAGAATGAGATGGAATCCAAAGTACAGGTAGAAACTGAGACAGGAGAAACACTCTTTTATTGCAATAGAAGGCAGGTTTGCATGTTTAGGAACTAGAAAATGAAAATTTCTAATAGATGACTTCTGTTTTCTCCGTAATACAGCACCTAGTTATGCTCTGGGATCACCCAAGGAAAGTAAAAAGATTTGTGAAATAAATAAGGTTTTTTTTTTTTTTTTTTTTTTT